TTTTTATTTTATACATATTCTATATTATTATTGTTATTAATATTTAATAAATTACGTAAATTAATTAAAATATAAAAAAACATATAAAAATAATATTTGAAAAATAACATGTAATGAAGTAGATGTATATAATGTTTTATAAGAAAATTAAATTTTATTTTGAAGATATATTAATAAAATATATGTTTATTTCACCTTATTCTATTGGGCGGAGGTGGATACGCATGTTACAAATTATTCTACTTTGTTGTTGTCTGTTTCATATAAAATTCATGTCAAATGTGGAACAATGATTCGTGTTTTAATATATTCTATCATGTTCAATATACCAACGCACCGTTACGTTTTCTTTAAATTGTTAGACATCTACTTTCACTAAATTAACAACTATTATTCAATGGCAGGATACCAATTAGACTTCTACTTTAACTAGAAATTAACAACTTGTTTGGTGTGTTATTAAGTGGAACTAACCTGAACAAGGACGGGACACGGGTGTTTACCCTTACCCCCCTAAAACTAAGTAGAACAAGGTTTTTTTTTTACTAATCTACCCTCACTTCTCGTGCGTCCTTCCCCGTCTTCCCCGTCAGGTCCTCCATTCCATCGCTCCTCCATTCCATCCCACCCTACCTCTCCTTCATCAATCGGCGACCGACGACGGCAGTTCGACGGTCCGCTTGATTTCATCTCGACGAGTTCCTTTCCATCGGCTGTTTGCTTTATTGCCCTATCTCGACGAGTTCGTTTCCATCGCACCCTACCTTCTCCTTCATCAGGTACACGATTGCCCTCTGTTTGCTATGTTTGGAACGATTTAGGGTTTGTTATATCTGAACGATTTAGGGTTTGTTACATCAGGTACACGATTGCCCTCCTCTCTCCATAACTCGATTTTGAAGAACTTGACAGCACCTGATTCATGTTTGTTTGCTGTTTCTGATTCATATTTCTACTCGATTTGCATTTTGTTTGATGTTTCTGATTCATGTTTGCTACTGATTCATCTTTTTTGGGGCGAATGCATGTTCTAGCTTAACCATGACTATTGATGCAATTGTCTTTTTCTATTCCTGGGTTTATCAACAAAAAGATCAAATCCTTATTGACTATTGATCCAACAAAAAGATCAAATGGTATTTGTAAACATTTATATTGATTATTCAGTGAAAAAAACACTAAACAGCTCACTGAGGGTAAATTGATCATTTTAACCAATTTTGTCATGTCCTGTGCTGTCTTACCAAACGCTGAACAACTGTTCTGTTCTGTCATGTCCTGTCCTGTCTGCGCACAAAACGCACCCTAAATGACCATTTAACCAGTCTTTTCTAAAAAAAAATAGCTACCATTTTTTTTCTCCAAAAATGTCCGTTAACCAACAAGTCTGACACCGCCAAGCCTACTTTTACTTGCGGTGTAAGACTCTATCCGACAAAATCTAGATTTTTTGGTTCGATCCAGTAAATGACAGTACAAAACCGTAGCCTGTTGTGCTTTGCGGTTTTTGCACTTAATTTTCTATTCAGTAAACCTAAAAATCGAGTGGCTTGCGGTTCTCTAGATGTTGACACTTGCCTTTTACTCCCTTGCGGTTCTACAAGACTATTACACGTGGCTTGCTATACCTGTCAGAACAATTTTTTCATAAATCTCAAAAATTTCAAAAATAACATAGTTGTTGAAGATGCTTTTACAATGTTGTTTTTATTGTTGTTGTCATTGTTACGTTATTGTCATAGAAACAACCATCATATCTTTTTGTTATCATAAAATACTCGCATATCTAAAAACCGTTCATGTTATTTTCAACTTTTTAAATTTTGATAATTTTTGGAAAATAAAAGACAAAGAACTATACAAGAAACCACACGTGTGCAACACTATATCCGAAACCATAAAACCGAGAAATCAAAACGGGGACCACACCAAACCGGCCTGTAACCTACTATGTTATGTTTGTTTGTTTTTTTATTTTTCTAAAAAACTGATTCTTAAGTTTATTTTCAAATCACATTTTTCTCTTATTTGGTTATCGGTCTATTTCAATTCAACACTAGAATAAAACTTTTTTTTTATATATATATTCCAAACTTGAAATAATTTTAAGTTTGTACATTTAGAAATTAAATCAAAACTAAGGAGCCGTTTACTCAAATGCTTACCCGGTAAGCACTTACCGATAAGAGTCAACACTATAATTTATTTTTCTGGGTAAGATTGTAGTGCATCAGAACAATATAGTATGCAACAATTTACCCGGTAAGTGCTTACCCGGGTAAGAGTCGTCACTCTCACTTACTGGGTAAGACTCTTCATCATTTCACCACTCTTACCGGGTAAGACTCTTAAATCCTTTTACCGCTCTAACCGGGTAAGATTCTAAACCCTTACCATATTCATCTGGTAAAGAAAATTACCTGATAAACACTTACTAAATAAACATTTAGTAAACGGCCCCTAAGTATATATTTAGTCTACTTCTGCTTTGGGCTGAATTAATTATAAAATCAATACATTTTCACTTCCTTTATGTCTGATTTATAGGTTTTAGTCTAGTCTAGTTCCAGTATGATGCATACCCTCGGTTCGGAGGTTATCAAGTTAACAAGAGAAGAAAAACGTGGTGATGTACGCGCACATATCTTTGAATCGGGGTGATCTCGATTTATTAAGTTCATTTTTCAATCATACGAGTTATATATATATATATATAGAGAGAGAGAGAGAGAGAGATGATTTTTTACAAAATATTTATGAAAGATTATCAGAATTCATTTATTATGATTAACTAATAACAATTGAGATATCTGTTAAATCAAATATTCATTAGACTAAATAAACGGTATATATATACATATACATTTATTTAAACATTTATGTTCAAACTGTCTCATCTCCAACAAATTCTCTATAATAGAGAAAATCAACTTTTTATTTTTTATAATGCTCCAACAACTTCCCTATCTCATTCTCTGTAATAGAGAATACTACTTCCATATGGAATGGAAAACCACCATCTTTGTCTGATTCATAATCCATAAACCACCCTCTCTATTTGTATTCAGAATCGAAACGAAGCCCAGGAAGTCTGAAACTAGGAGAGAAATGAGACCCTATCATCTATCCTAGCAATATCATTTTGAGAGAGGTGATCCACTCTTTCTATGCAAGGAGAGGAACAACAAACACATTGGAGGCAAAATGAATTCCAAACCTAGGAAAATTGTTATCGCAAAATTAAACACACACACACGCACACATACACATCACATCGTCTATTGAAACAAAGTGTGTGTGTGTTTCCCAAAAGCTCTTTGCAGCAGATTGAGTGTCTGTTTCAGTGAAGACATAAAAATAATGTGTATAGGGTGTTGCAGTGTGTGTGTTTTAACAACAAGTGTTTACGTGTGTGTGCATACACGAGAGAGAGAGAGAGAGAGATAAACGTTAAGGTTTTAGGGAGAGAAATTGATGAACATTTGTAGGTTTCGATCAGAGATGGTGAATAGATTTGGAAGGGACAGTGGCTGCCGGTGAGAATGGTCTCTGTTGTACATATATAAATAATAACTTCATTATACATATATTTTCCATTTTTAAATAGAATTTAAAAAATTAGATAAAAAGACTAAATTACCCCTCATTTAACGGACATTGTTTAATAAAGTTAGTGATTGAAGATCATTTTCAAAACAAAATGAGAATCACAAGGACGTTTTATAGAGTCATCAAAATTCAGGTCCCACTTTTAAAGATTTAACTAAACACGAGGAATCAAAATTAGAGTTTACTCAGCTTTGAATTCATAAATCATCTGAATTATGATTTAAAATCACATTAAACTATAAAATTAGCTTAGAGAGTTACAAATAATAATGGGGTGTTTGAGATTGCTTATAAAAACAACTTATTGACTTATTCCGGTTTGACACCGGTAATAAGCACTTTTGAGTGTTTTGATAAACAATTTATACCGGTGCCAAAACAGTAATAAGGAGTTTTTAAAAAAGTTAAACTCTTCTGACTTATAATAAATTAATAAATATTTTTAGAGACAAGCATAAATTGTTTCAAATAAGCAAATCCAAACACCCCTTAAAACTAAATTTGAAAAAATATTGTCGTGTTATCCGCTTCCTAATCGAAGGGGCTGTTTGGTAGTTGCTGAATGATTTAGTTCAGAATAGTTAAGAGGTTAGAATTGCTAAGAGGATCAAAATGGTTAAATGCTGAATGAAACAAGATTGTTTGGTAATTATTCTCTGAATGATAGCAAATTACCATTTTAACCCTAGTTATGATTTAGTACTGAATAAACCAACATACAATTACCAAAGATGATGTTTCTTCATATCAGTATCAAATCCTCAAGAAATTGCAAAATRTCGATAATCCAATCATCATTAACATTGTTACAAACATGAAATAAGCAATAAAYACCATCAATTTCTAAWGAAAAATGATAAATTCCCTAAACCAAACCCTAGATTTATGCAAGATCAACGACCTGCTGGAAGAGGCGGAGAGGCGACGAGTGACGAGGCGGCGAGGCGACGAGCGACGAGGCGGCGAGGCGACGAGCGACGAGGCGGCGACGGCGACGTGGGGTGGGGGGAGGGAAGACCGGCGATGTGTGCTGTTGGTGGTTATGGAAGACCGACGAGGGGGGGTAGAAGACGGTGATGGGGGGAGAAGACGGTGATGGAGGGGGGAAGAAGGAGGGCATAGTTGGAAAAATGAACATCTGAATGGTTTAGTGAGGTATAGGATGCAAAATGGTTAAGAGCCAATTGTCACCGTTAAGAAGTTCTATTTTTTTTGCCAAACAGCCTCTGCCTCTTAGCGATTAAGAGGCTGCCTCTTAGCGGTGGTGACATTAAGAGGCAAACAAACAGCCGCGAAATGATTTGGAAAGCATTGCTCACGGGAATCTTACTGGTCGAAGAAAATAAAGGGGCAGTGGTTTTTGTATGACGTGTCAATATATGATTGGGTGACATTCGTCACCGAGTTTCAATCATCAGGCAACCAGGTCCATGTATATCACGTTGAGTCAAAACAAACCTTTTCACTTCACACTGATGAAGAAAATGGCGAATTTGAGTGTTAGTTCTTCAATGAAGGGGATCTCCATATTGATTCTGTTGATTGCAGCTACACTAGGTGAGTAGTAATCATAAGTGAACCAAGTTATTACGCATTAATTTGCATTGTTTATCAAAAAGTTTTCGTCACCGATAAATGTTATATGTTTTGTGTAAATCGAACGACGATTTGATGTATTCCGACGAATCATACAGTTTCAGCGAAGTCCGGAGATGTGACGGAGTTACAGATCGGGGTCAAGGTAAATCTAACCATCTAAGGACTTGCGATCTTGTATTATAGTTGTTATTCATCAATTTGTTTTGCGTGAGTGAACTGTTTGTCGATTTTATTGAGTAATGTGCTGATTTTATTAATTGACCATGATTTCGTTTGATAATGTATGATCACGTTAGTCTTTTAGTTCCGGGAGGAGCTCGGATCCCGATTTGATTATTAATTGAAGCAAGAGATTAGAATAAACCAGGGGGAACCTAGCGTGTTATTTTGCAGAGTGTTCCTTGGAAAATAATGAAGGGGAAAAACGAGAAGTAAAGATTTGCATGATTAATCTTCTTATATTAAACTGGGAAGGATAACTTGCGTTTGCAGTTTTCTCTGTGTGGCAAACTGGCAATGGTGAGTGCATATGGTTTAAGAGTAGGAATCTTGATACAAGGACTCTAGTTTGTGAAAAATATGGCTAGGGCTTGAGTTTTTCTTGATGATGATTGTGAAAATATGTGGAACGCTGTTAGATTACTTTCTAAAAGAGCACTTTTAGGCAGGTTCCAACATATATTGAGGAGAATAGGTCAAAGTTTAGCCAATGTGGGACTCTAACAATAATATGGCTTGTAAGCAATGGCTTGAGTTTGAGGGTAACGTGTTCAGGGTATTTCTTGTAACTTGAAATGTGATGTGAAAACAACTTAGTTTTAATGAGTCGTGAAGGATAGAGCAAAATAAGATAAATCCTTGTTTGCTAATTGGTTGCAATGCCTCAGGCTCCATTAACAGGATCTTATGATCACTGCGTTACATACATGCAGTAATCATTCAATGTCATCTTTGGCTGTAATCATTCAATGTCATCTTTGGCTTACTGATACTTAAGCTGGTAGATTTTTTAAATTTCCCATTACTTGATGTGTTATGGCTGTAATCCCTCGGTCGAATTTCATAATGATGCATGGGTAGCATGTACCTTTGACATTCTTTCTTTTGTTTCTGAACCTTGGATCTGTTATTGTTGCAGCATAAGCCAGCATCTTGTGCAGTACAGGCACACAAAGGTGATAAAATCAAAGTTCATTATCGGGTAAGAAGATTTATAACATCTTTTATTCTTTATTTTCCCGTTTGTGCTTTTTGAGTTCTTGTTATTTTAGTTCTCACTGCTGTCCACAAACCTGTTGCAAAACTCAGCAGTAAATGGATGAATGTTTTTCTAAGCACATCTACATAAGATGCAACTGTGATCAGTTCTAGTTCTTAGATCAAAATATGAAAATATCATATTCATTGTAAATCAGCTAACAGTTGGTATGTAGTAGAAATCATTATGTTTTAGAGTAGCCTAGAAAACTGAGGAAACACTTGGATGTGTATAGGATTTGAAAGTCTGAACTTCAGGGATGTATAGTAACCATAAATTCTGGTGTTATCAGGCTTTAAGCCTGGCCAAATTGGTCATAGCAAATGGATAAGATTTTATTGTTGTTTGATACTTCCAATTGCTGAGTCATTAACACTGAGGGCGAGCTCAACTGGCAAATAAAGGCTAGGTGGGGCTCCTCGTAGGTCGTCAGTTCGAGTCTCCTCAGGGCTATCGGGGATTTTCATGGTTGTTATCTTTAGGCCCTATGGGATTAGTCGAGGTGCACGTAAGCTGACCCGACCACCCACGGTTACTAAAAAAAAACTTGTGCAAGCTATGAAGATCTTGAGAGACACATAAAAATGAGGATACATTTATCTGGTACAGGACTCAAAATCTGAACTTTTGGGGGCAGTAACTGAATCTTAGATCTTTTATCATTCCTAAAGCCATGCCAAGATGCATTTATCTTTTTGTGAGTAAAATGGTATCAGATGCTACTTTCAGTAAATTTAAGAGATCAGTGTTTCACATATGGTGCATCTGAGGGCCTTGATCTATAATTTTCTCCCTCTATCCTTGTAACTACTAATTGGTTTTTCATATTCCTGTTTGAAACTAAACCAAAGGTAGTTGTCTTGTGTGATAGGATTTCCTTGATGCGTTATGCTTCATTATTAACTTTCACTTTTCTTGCAGGGAAAACTTACTGATGGCACCGTTTTTGATTCCAGCTTTGAGAGGGGAACTCCATTTGAATTTGAGCTTGGCAGTGGTCAAGTCATAAAAGGTAGGAAATCCAATAACTTCCATTTCTTCTCTCTGTTGTAGAAACTACACTAACCATATCTGAAAGTTAAAACTGGTCCAACCCACAATTTATACCACAACCACGGATGAAACCGACAACATTGATACACCCCACAATTGATGCTATACTGTCCATACCGTTCTTGCCGCCATCAGCTCATTGAACCTTCCACCATTGATATACCGCAGCGCGACCATCTTCCACGGCCACTATTGCCAAATTGATGCGGAGCAGCGGGCCTTAGTGTTCCTGGAAACCCATGACCGGGCCAACAGGGGGTGTCGCGCTTTAACATGCATAACTTTTGGTACGGGTCTCCGTTTCAGACCCACAAGGCCACAATACACCAATTCGAGCATAGAATGAGGACCGTGACATTTTTGTGTTCTTTTTGCTATTTTCCATTTATGTTTGGGCTTTTTTATTTGGCCCGCCATCTCTTTTCTGATCCGTTTCATTTTGAACTCTTTATTCATATGTTCCTGGGGTAAAATGGATGGTCACTTGATTAATAACAGAAACTTCATCTTCCATCCAAATTCCGGGTTCTCTCTAAGGGGCCGTTTACCAAACACTTACCCGGTAAGTGCTTACCGGTAATTTTACACTATTATTTACTCATCGGGTAAGATTTTGGTCCACCAAAACGACATCGTATGCGACAATATACTCGGTAAACACTTAATGTGGTAAGAGTCGTTGCCTTCACTTACTGGGTAAGACTCTTGGTCTTTGTCTCGCTCTTACTGGGTAAGATTATTGGTCCTTACCATATTCATCCGGTAAGGTAGTGTGATTTAGTAAGCGCTTACCCGGGTAAGCGTTTGGTAAACGGCCCCTAAATTTGAGTTTGTGCCTAAAGCTTGGCATTTGATTGAATCAACAAGCTTTATAAGAGGTAATTCCTAGGTATTCACAGAACCAACAGGTCTAACCTTTGATATAGTTATCATACGCTGCATAACTAATGAACCCAACCCTCATCATTGCTGTGCAAGTTGAGTGATAAGAAGCATTTAATTTTTCACCAAGTAGCCAACTTCACAGTTGTTGAACATGCTAGACGTTTATCCATGTAGTTATTAACCATTTGATCTTTAGGTTCACTAATTGTGCATCAAGTAAATGGTTGTAGTTTAACAAATTTACTTTGCAGGATGGGATCAGGGACTATTGGGAATGTGTGTTGGAGAAAAACGTAAGCTGAAGATACCGGCTAAAATGGGTTATGGAGACCGGGGTTCACCACCTAAGATTCCAGGTAATACTCGCTCTTTTTGTCTCTTTCCGTTTTCAAAAGCAAGAAATATAACAATTTGCATGAATACTAAAGCAAACCAGATGAAACCAGTAAATCCAACACTGAGGGGCTGTTTGGTTGGTTTTCCATGAAGACCTAAATGGATAAAGTTGTCTGAGTGGATTAAATTGTCTGTATAGATTGAGGTGGCCTTTGGTTGGGAGGTTTTTTCATAGATGGAAAGAGTGTTTTCTTTTTAGCTGGGAAGGGCAGGTTTGGAAAACAACTTAGGCTTTTTGCATAAAGCTTCCCCTAGAAGCTTATTGAATAAGCCATTTTCTATACCATTAAGGGGCCGTTTACCCAAACACTTACCGGTAAGCGTTTGCCAGTAAGATTCAACTCAACACTATCATTTTACCTTACTGGTAAGATTTTAGTCCATCAAAAATTATACATAACAATTTACCCTGTAAGCGCTAACCGAGTAAGAGTCGTCACCCTCCCTTACCAGGTAAGACTCTCGGTCCTTGCCATCACCCTTATCGGGTAAGATTCTTGGTTCTTGCCATGTTCATCAGTAAGGTAATATGACTTGGTAACTGCTTACCAAGTAAGCGTTTAGTAAACGACCCCTAAGCCACTACCAAACTAACCGAATAAGTTGTGTCTCATTAAGTGCATTTATCTGCTACCAAATAGGCCCTGAGTAGTGTTTGGGAAGGGTTTGATGTATGTAGATTTGTCCTCCATCTCATGGAGTAGGCACTGTTTCTATTAAGACCCCAACTTGCTAAAATGGTTTTGTAAAGAATTGCAAGCAATTAAGTTTTGTAGAGAAGCTCGCACAAAAGCTACTTCTGACTACCTAGCTTAGATGATGAATAAATACGAGGCCTTGCGGCTGCTCCTTTCCATAGGTCGCTAGTTCGAATCTCTTCAGAGCCGTCATGGATTTTTTCTGGTTGTTATCTTTAGGTCCCTAATGGAATTAGTCGAGGTGTGCACAAGCTGTCCCGAATTCCCATAGTTGACAAAAACAAAGCTACTTTTGACACTTGAATTGTGGGCGGATTGTTCAAGGCTCAGGAGAATGTAGTGAAAATCTCATCTTTCCTGGGTTCAAGTCTAGGCACTCTCAAAGCCCTTGCGGCCCTGGAGTTTCACCTACAATGACTTCAGGTCATTCTTGATCACCCGAGGGATTAGTTGGTGCACGGAAGCTGACCAGGAAATAATGACATTTGTATGTTAATTTGTAAACTGTTACTTCTTAAAACAAGGCTTACATGGCAATATTTTTACTATTTTGTTTTCTTGCGAAGGGTTTTTAACGAATAATAACATGATACTAAGCTATCGATGACGATCTTGGAACCAAACAGGTGGGGCGACACTTATATTCGACACGGAGCTTATTGCAGTTAATGGAAAGGGATCGGGTGAAGGAAACATTGATAACAGTGAGCTATGATCTCATGAAGCCTAAACTTGATAGGAGATCGTTAGAGTTCGGTTTATGTAGGTTGGGCTAAATTACACACCTCTACCTGTTGATTTCCTTCTCAGATTAACGTCAAAACTTACCTTTTACATTTTCAATGTATTATTTGACTTGATTCTAACATGAATAGGTGCATATATTGTACCTTAAAGCATTAGATTTTCTGGCAGAATCATTCGGAGATAGAAATGGTCAAACTCAAGCTCGACCATATTGTAATGATTTGTACCTCATGAGCTCGGAGTTTTACCGGACTTTTTGTATTTTACACTTTAAAGTGTTGGTTTTTCCGGCAAAATTTTCAAAATATTTCTCCAAAATGAAGAATAAAAAATTTGTAATAAGTTTTTCAATTTTGAAGATTATATTATTAATATATTCAATAAATATTAATTTTCTTTTCGGCCAAAGTGAATGCTTCAAACTAAATGGTAAGGAGAGATAAATAACGTATTTAATAAATCGTATTGAATATTTTAATAATATAATTAATAATATAATTTTTAAAATGAAGAACCTCTTGAAGATAAAAGTTATCTTTTTGAAGATTTTTATTTTTTATTTTTTTATTTTGAAGAATCTGTTAAAAACATTTTTAGTAGAAATTCTTATAATAAATTATTTTTTGTATTTTTAGTTGTCACATTATTTCCAACTTATCAAATTAAAAAACTCATAAAAAGTATACAATGGTAGTCCTTTATAAATGACTTTTTGTAGATCCTATGCAATTTTTTTAACATCAATAATTACTATATATTTATAAATATATATTAAATAATTAATTTGAAATATATATAAAAGAACCTATAAATTGCCCTTTCATATCACCTTCAAGATAGTAATCAAAGTTTTTATAGAAGAACTTATAGGAGTGAGTTATTTTTTTTAAATAAAAGCTCTCTGTAATGATCGTAAAAGAACTACACTTTTTTTTTCCTACAAGAAACTTGCATTAGAGATGTTTTTACTAAATCTCGTAAATTCACATGATTTTACATGATTCTAATATAAAACGGTTCAATATAAAATCCTCGGTAAGAAGTTCTCGTTTGTTTGTTTATGACTCGTGATATATGAGTGAATGATACTTGTCAAGGAATTTCGAGGGAAATTGATCGAAATGACTATTTTTCTCATATCAATTAATCTTTTAGTCATTTCTTTCCTGATTTTATCTAAACATCATTACCTCTATAAGTGACACCTCTGTAATTCGTGGAAGTAATTAACAAGACAAAAAAACACAATTTCTATCCAGGTCTGCAAGTGACACCTCTGTAATTTCTTGCAAACCGAGGCTGAAATTGTAAATTTATTTTTGTCAACCACAAGGGTGGTGTCTGATTGGTTTGAACTTGACTGCAAAGGTCAAAAGTACCCGGAGGTCTCAAGTTCAAATCCAAGGAGAATAAAAATCCTTTTGTGGCCACGGAGATTCAAATGCAGTGACTCCGGATCATCTGCAAAATAAGTGGTTGTCCTGAAATTAATCGGACTCGCATAACGGGTTAGATATTCATGTTAATAAAAAAAAATATTTTTGTCTTTTAACTATTTTTTTTTTTTTTTTTTTTTTTTTTTTNGGAGATTCAAATGCAGTGACTCCGGATCATCTGCAAAATAAGTGGTTGTCCTGAAATTAATCGGACTCGCATAACGGGTTAGATATTCATGTTAAAAAAAAAAAATATTTTTTTCTATAATTTTTTTTTTTTTTTTTTTTGTCTTCTTTTAACTATTTCCCAGAGGTTGAATCATCCGGCAACCAGATGAAAAAGAGCGGAGTCAAACAAACGACTTGAAGAAAATGGTGAATTTATGGATAACTTGTGCATCCTCCATATCCATCCTTCTAATCGCAGCTACAGTAGGTGAGTTAAAATCGAAATCTAATCAACTTATATTTGCATTGTTCTTTCATATTTTTCAATGGTGAGGAGTTTGAGCTTTATATGTAAATCGAACTGCGATTTGATGGATTCCGACGAATCATACAGTTTCGGCCTATTCCAGAGACGTGACCGAGTTGCAGATCAGCGTCCAGGTAAACCTATGGATTTCTATATCCCTTGTTGTTGTTATTAATTGATTTTGGTTTGCTTGTGTACTGTTTAGAGTGTGGCGATTCTGTTGAGCAATATGTATACGAGATTCTGGATGTATATAACAACTCAATATTTTTAGAGTTTCTCCAATCCCCAATTTCTTATATTTTCTAATATCGATTGTTAACAGTCAAGTGATCTCACGGTCCCGGTATTGTCAAAAAACCACAATGCAAACTGATCCAATACAACAAATGCATATAAACGGGATCTAAGGGATAATCAGATATACGATCAACAACACGTAAATTCAAACAGGGAGATTTAACGTGGTTCCACTATCATCGATAGATTACTAACCAGGAGGATTACAACGTGTTTACAAAGATCCTTGGATCTCAAATCAGCAAACCAAGCCAAACAGCAGGTTTCTACAGCATCATTTTAAACCAAAATTTAACTGGCATGTGAAGACTACCTAGCTTTTACGAGTCATGAAGGATGGATTAAAATTAGAGGATTATGTTTACTAATTGGAATGCCTCTGGGTTCTGGCTCTGGCTCCATTAGCAATTTAGCAGGATCTTTTGATCTATTCATCTTATGTGATGCAAGGCTTAAGGATGTTTAATCTGTCGTTCAGATCCGTGGCGGCCAGCGGTGGTCCACATGGAGGTCATATGGGTTTGGGTAAATCAAGTAGGGAAGATGGGATGTAATGGAATTGAATTTGTCTTTTTGAGAAAATGGGATGGAATGGAATTGAATTCCTTCTCAATTGTGATGGAATGACCAAATCCATGAATGGTAGAATGTGTGAAATTCAATTCCATTCCACAGGTAAACCAAACGCCTGAATGGAATTTGGTCAACAGAATTGTTCATTCCAATTCCTTCAGATTCCGTCGGAATGCTGCGAACCAAACTTCCCCCTAGTGATTGTGACCACAAAACCCAGAAATTCTAACAATTTAAGCTGGTAATTTGTTTAAAATTCCTACTATATTACTTGATGTGTTATGTCTGTAATGCCTTGTATAATGATACTTATGTAACAGTGTTTCTTTTGTTTCTGAATCTTGGATCTTTTATTGTTGCAGCATAAGCCAACATCTTGTACAATACAGGCACACAAAGGTGATAAAATCAAAGTACATTATCGGGTGAGAAGATATTTCACAATTTGTGTGTTTTTTGAGTTGTTCCTTGTGAAACATTTTATTAGCTGAGACTAAATTTCACTTGTCTTGCAGGGAAAACTTACTGATGGCAAAGTTTTTGATTCCAGTTTTGAAAGGGGAACCCCATTAGAATTTGTGCTTGGTAGTGGTCAAGTGATAAAAGGTTGGACACCCAATCTCTTCCATTTCTTCTCTATAATTGGTCCTAATTTTTGTTTGCAAATGGTCAAATTTTTTGTTAAAATGAAGAAGATAGATAAAGATAGATAGAAATATAGTATAATCCTGACTGAAACTACACTAGCATAAGGTAGCGTCTGGTACTCAGACTAGATGGGACAGGACATGACTGGACAAGACTAATTGTCTGTCATGTGTTTGGTCAGACCAGAACAGGCCGGACTAATTCTCTGTCCTGCGTTCCATAAGATGGACCGGACAAAACTGTTAAAATGACCAGATTACCTGTCCAACCCACAATTGATACCACAACCATGGCTGAAACCACAAGGGTGATGCCTGATTGGTTTGAGCTTGGCTCCAAAGGTAAAAAGTATCAGGAGGTCCCAAGTTCAAATCCAAGGAGGAATAAAAATCCCCTTGTGGCCACGGAGGTTCAAATGCGGTGACTCCGGGCTATCTGCAAAGCAGGTGGTCGCCCTGGGATTAGTCGGCTCGCATAGCGGGTTGGATATCCAGGTTAAAAAAAAAACATGGCTGAAACCAACAACATCAAAGTACCCCATAACTTACATTGACCATGATTGAACCACCCCTGTAAAAATCTTTGATTGTAACTGAACAAACAGACTTAAATGGCCTAGACAACTAATCACAACAAAACTGACACACACATTGCTTTTAGTGAGGTTTGAACTTGACCTTAAGGAAGATCAGGATCTCGCAATACCTGGGTACCACTGGTCCAATGACCCTTGGTGGGAAGCGTTTATTCTCTTTGTTTTGTGTTTATGTTAGACTTATAAGGCTCTATAAAAACCCATCATTGCCTATGATTAGGCTAAGAGGTCCGACTCAGATAATTGCCGACTTACAACTGCTGTTAACCTAATGTATTGTATCAACCATTAACGAAGTAGAAATGACAATTACACCCCTCTGTTTGAAGTTATTGCTAATCGTAAATTAGTATTTACAAGACGTGCTATATTGTATTCTTAGTATGCATATTTTTTATGTGAGACAATATATTAACATCGTATTTTCTTTGTTACTTTCTTTAATTTCAATTATTTATTTTTTATGAAGATATTTATTTCATTTCAGGTGGTATTTACTGCTTCGGTTTGGTTTGGTTCGTTACCATTTTTCTTAATACATGAAACTATGATATTATAAAAAGGATTTTTTATGCCAGTCTCCCCACCTTTGTGTATGAAAGATGTGATTGTAGTCTCATGGTTATCAAAACTATGTAGAAGTTCATATATTTATGAACCATTTGATCTTTAGGTCCACAGACTACTTAATCAAACAAAGGGTTATTGGTCTAGTTGTAGCCGGGTTACTATTAGATCCCAATCTTTTCTTGTCTAAGCCTTACCAAAAATGAGGAGTCTATGTGAGTTTTACGATATATAAATATCATATACTTCAAAAAAGGTACTTGGTCAAGTGAATTATTGTAATTTGGCGGATTTACTTTTGCAGGATGGGACGATGGACTGATGGGAATGTGCGTTGGAGAGAAGCGTCAGCTGACGATACCCGCTAAAATGGGCTATGGAGAGAGGGGATATCCACCTATCATTCCAGGTAATGCTCATTCCCGTGGTTTCTCAAAACAAACAAGAATTGCAAGGATACGTAAAAACCCTTTGAATCCTTCTTTAGAAAAGTACGTGTTTAACTGATGTGGTATTCTAATAAGAGTAAACAAATACCTTGGTTTATTTAAAATGGTTGAGAACAATCTACGACGTTGTTAATATGTGGAAGTTGTCTGACGATAACAAAGAACGATGTGTGTTTGTTATATTGTACTCCCTCCATCCCAAAATACATATCCCTAATAAAAAGATCACACAGTTTTGGATATATGTAATTATTACACTTTTTAATCACTAAATGACAATTTTACTCTTAGTGATAGAGAGAGTAGTTAATTTCTCCATCTCATAATTAATGATAGAATTGGAAAGTTCGACAATTATTTTTGAGACAAACTAAAATAAAAATTATGGACACTTATTTTGAGATTTAGGAACTAAATAATTGCTTCTTATAGTGTGCCTTAAATGGCATTATTCTTGCTTATTTGCTACTCCGTCTATCCTAAAATAATTGTCTATATTTCTATTATATTTATCCCAAAATAAGTCTATTTTCATAAATAGATAGTTAAATTTCCGAATCTACCCTTAATGCACAAATATTTAAGAATTGACACGATAGATGCATTAGTTAAGGGTAAAATTGTAGTTTAGTTAACTAAAAATTGCAATAATTATTTGTGGTTTAAACTGTATGTCGTTTCTATTGTGGACACTTATTTTGGGATGGAGTAAGTATATAATAGTGATTTGACTGCACATTGACTGAAACTATAACCAACATGATGGATTTGTTCCTCACCTCATTGGATCCCGTTAGTTTCCAAAACAAATAATATCGTGATACCAACCTAGTGATAACCGTCTTTGAACGTAAACAGGTGGGGCCACACTTATATTCGATACGGAGCTTATCGCAGTTAATGGAAAAAGACCAGGTGAAGGAGACAACGGTAACGGTGAGTTATGATCTCAAGAAGCCTGATTGGTTGCTTGATGGTATAAGCCTGTTGTCTGCTCGGTATTTAGAGTTCAATTTTTGTACCTTAAACTCGAAGCACGACACTAATCTTTCTAACGTAGAAATGGCCTAATCGTGTTATAATGATTTGTACCTCACGAGCTTCGACTCATATCTTGTACTAGATTTTCTCCATTTCCACGCTTTACTCTTTATAACTGTTATAGACGTTAACACCCTCCAAGTTGGCATTGGGGAAGATACGACGAACACACGCAACAGAACCGTCTCACTCTTTTTGTAGGCCCAGTTACACATGTTCTCAGAGACGGGCCTAGATTTTTTTCAAGTGGCGGCACCATTTGACTATAAGAAACAAATATATGCATATTTTTTGCAAAATCATCACCAGTCTGTTGGTTAGCTCATTGCTTTTCATATCTGTGATCACGTGTTCGAGTCTTTTATCATAATTTTTTTTTTCCAGAATCATAAGAAATCTGAAATTAAAAGTTAAAAACTAATATAGCTATAACTCAAACCCTTTTTACGAGCATGAAAACCTGCCCATACATGCCCTATAAACGGGCTGGACTTGCCCACGTGCTAACGAGCGTAAAAATCGTTTTATATTTTTTAGAAAACAAAACTTATATAAAATCACAAGCTATGTAAAATAATTCAAAATACATAACAATTTTTCCAACTTAAAATTAGACGTAAAAATGGTAACAATGTACATAATTTAGAAAAACATTGTCTTGCAAAATATGTAATATCGATAAAGGAAATGATCAAATGAGATAATAAAATAATTGACCATTTGTGGTAATTATGTTTTTACTTTTTAGATTTTAAAAGAATGTTAACATCATCGGTCATAATTAAGTGTTACTATCAATAATTTTCAATTTTACTTGTAAATTTTAATTATAAAAGTCAATTAATATAAAAATATCAACGGGCCAAACGGGCTTGCCCAATTTTGTTTTTGCATCGCTGAACAAGTTAGTCTGGACTCACTCATTTCTTCGAGAATGTACTTTTCTAACAGACCGCACAAGATGAGTCTAGCAGATCGTCGCGTCCATGAACAGTTCTACTTAGCTTCCACATCAATCAGTAATTACAAGATTAACGATTACCAGTCATATTGTGCACAAAATACAAATATACTTGGTTATATTTGATTGATTTTGTCTAATAAAAAATTTAAAAGAAAATATATTTTTTTCTATTATTTTTTATTAAAACCCAATATAAAAAAATGCTAATTTGTTGGTAAGATACACTTGAATTTCAACTTTGGAGTGCAAATCTTTCCTTTAAAAGATATTTGTACACATTTTTCAAGATTTTTATATAATTTATTATTGTATAAAATAATCACATACCTACAAACGGCATGCTTTTGATAGTTGGAAAGGAAAAAAAAAGCAAGATACATGATATTCTGATATTTAATTGAGTTGTAAAATCTTTTGCTTGTAGAAAGATTTGACATCTCAGGCTAACATTACTAGATATCGTCTGTTTAGTCCATATGTGCACTCACGTTTTTAAACCGCACCTAATAGATAAGGTATTCAGTCTCTTATAAGGCAATGTTTATTTCGCTCCCCAGTCGATGTGGGATGTTATAGAAGGGTGTGCAAACCATGAATCGTTTGAAACCGCAAACTGAAAATAAGGTGTTTATGTAAAACTTGAATGTCCACAAAATCCAAAAATTTGAAACCCATGTTACGGGGTGATATTTGGGTTTGGGTTGGGTTGATTTCTGTCCCTAATATACTAAATATTATATAAATATATTATTTATCTAATTATCTTTCGAAAATCCTAAATCATAGTAGGTCGTTCTATTTTCTAAATTTTAAACCCACTATCGGTTTCATCAATCATCTTATTCGATTGAGTTCATCCTCAAAATCAATTAAATATATGTAATTTTTTGAATAAAACTATACGCGAACCCGACCGACCTCATCCTGAAACCCGACCAACCTGAACCCAAAATATGAAATCCAAAATTTGGGGATTAATTTTCATATCTGAAATCCAATCAGATATTTAGCTTGCCAACTTGAACCCACCCGATACACACCCTTAACTGTAGGGTATTGGTGTTGGAATTAAGTTATGGTCATTTGAACCCAACATAACCGAATGAACCTGATACCCTTCTACTCATTGGATTTAATAGGATTGCTACGTCTCTTGTTAATATGTACATTAAATCATTACACTATCACCTTCTTTATCTATACTATATTATATAGTTTTTAGCATAGACTTTTAAAAACTATTTTTTGTGCATCAAGTACCACTTATTATTGTATATTACTTAAAATTCAAGATTACAAGTTGATCAAACATAAATACAACTTATTAGAGCTCCATATTTGAATTCATTTAACTAACTGTAAATAAACATAATATATACTATATTATAAAACATTTAAGATAAACACTGAGATAAAACACCTCATTTTTTTAATTAAAATATACTATCTCTTTAATTTTAAATATAAAATATCTTAAATATAGTTATCATTTAAATTAAATGATCTTTGACATGTAACAAAATACTTTATCATTATTTTTTATAAAACAAATCATAACTAAAAGAAAGTAAAATATATTTTTAATTAGAAAAATAGTTATCATTTAAATTAAATGATATTTGACATGTAACAAAATACTTTATCATTATTTTTTATAAAACAAATCATAACTAAAAGAAAGTAAAATATATTTTTATTTTAAATCTAAAGAGACAAAAAAACCTAATGCATTTTTAGTGTTTGGAATGGTTAAGTTCTTGGACAATTTTTTTAAAAACACAAGTTCTTAGACATCTCAAAACATGTTAAATAAGTTTTTGTACTTTTTAAAAGATATTAAATAAATCCTTAGAACTTAAAAATGTAACTTGCAATCTCTTTAGCAAGTAAAAGTACAAATTAAAAAAAAAAACTAAAGACTATCCTAAACACAATTGTCCACCCATCGTCTCAAACTCGTCGCCCTACACCACCCGTGGCCCTACCCACCCATTGTCGTAGGCACCTCCCTCAACCCAGCCCATCGTCGTCGCTATCTCTTTCAACCCAGACCATCGTAGCCCCATTTAAAGAGAAGCTAGTTGACGATCATCCCTAGGCCTCATTTCATGGATAATAATGATGACAACCCCAATAAACATCGCTTTTGGTCTCTACTTATCCAAATACTCTCATTCTTCTAACGAGAAACCCATGCTACTTTTTTTGCTCAACCGCAAAGATCTCGACAAGACAAAGATATAATCGTGGTGGAAGAGGATGACAGTCCTTGTCAGGGTTTATTTGACTGGAAGGTGTCCAAATCCAGGTCCATTAGGTGCGGTAGCAGGAACTTTTCTGGAGACTTCTTCAAGCGAATCTCAACTGGGTTCAAACTTGATGAAGAGGATGATAGTGTTGAGATCAAGCTATATAAGAAGTTGTCCATTCGTTTCTCATACGTAGATATTCGTCATAAGGATGTATTTAACAGTTTCAAAAAGTCCGATGACTTACTTTACAGGTCTTAGAAAGTCCAATGACTTGTGTATTCAAAAGATTGTTCAAAAACTTAATTATTTCAAACGCTAAAATTCATTGGGGTTTTTGGGCTTTTCCCAAATCTAAATTATAATAAAACTTAAAATTAAATAAATTAAACCAGAACGTTAGTTTGATATCCATATTAATATATAGTCCAAGATAAAATAATAACCAATTCATCTATAGATTTCTTCGTAAAATAAAATCGAGAAAGACAAAATAAAAATAAAAATAAAGTATAGATTTGATAACCCCGTTGCATTGCACGGGAACACTTCTAGTATTATATATATATATATATATATATATATATATATTTATTTATTTATTTTAAATGACTAAATTTAAACAAAATAAACAATTAAAATTTTAGAAATTGGTTACCTATATGTTTTTTAAAACCTAAAATATTACCTATCTATGATCAGGTAGAAAGTGTTAAACTTAAATTAAAATACCTAAATCATTTTTACTATTTCCAATCATACGTCATTCATGCCGCTTGCATCCAACATCATCGCTCCCCCTCGCCACCCCGTTTTCGTCGCTTTCTATCATTTTCCATCACCGATATTGCCTTGTCATCGATCCCCCTTTTTTTTTATCGCTTTTTTTGTTTTTCAATTTTTCCTTCTTTTTTTTAACTTGTCTAAACGTACTCCATTAACTTGTTGTAAATGAGAGAGAATCAAAGTACAAAAACAGGGAGATTGATGACATGAGCCAACGATGGCGATGAACAATATGAAGAATAGATGATGGTACGACGAGGGTTTGAATGGCATAGGGTTTGGGACGAGTAAAACTGATTTAAGTTTTTTTACTTTCAGACATTTTTAGCCGGTTTCATGTAATTTATTTGGTTTAAATGATATACATAACCAATTTTTAAAAGTTAAATATTTTTTATTAAAAAAATATTCATGAACTTAATCATTTGAAATGAAAAAAATTTAATGGTTATTATTTAAAAAAAAAACATTTTGTTGGGTTTGAGAATGAGCATTATTGTTGTATTCAAGTTTCTCCATATCTTACATGTTTTTGTAATAGTGTAGCTTTATTACTTCCTTAGTATAAATAGTATTTTCCTTTGTAATTGTCATTATCAAGTCATTAGCAGATTGTAATCAGATTTAGAGCTGTAATTCTCTCTCTCAATNGTTTCTATTAAAAAAAATAGTTGAATTAAAATAAAATACATTTTTATTTTAATCTAAATTATAATAAAACTTTAATCAAATAAATTAAATAAATCAAACTAGAAAATTAGATATATATATATATATAGAGAGAGAGAGAGAGAGAGAGAGAGAGAGAGAGAGAGAGAGAGATAGAGGACGTTTCAAATTCAACTCATCACATTTGTACAAATAATGCAACTCAATCAATTGAGATATTTATGAAAATGATAAGAGTTGATTTATTATGATTTGAATATTATGGAAGATGACTAGGATTCATCAATTATGATTAATATTTTATATTAGAAAACAATCAAAACTTTTATTAAATCACATATTCATCAAATTAAATGAACGTTTGAGATTGGGTTGTATTGGTTGTACAAATTTAAAAAGTTGCATAATAACTCACATCTCTTTCTATATAT